GTTTTCTAGAAAAAAAAAAAAAGAAAAAAAAAACGAGCTTTTTACTGCTTCTACTGATACTGTATGAAAGAACGAATGTCCTCCCTACTGCGTTCTTATTTTGCTGCTGCTTTTTGGTTTAACGTTTTTTTTCGTTCACTATCTTTTTTTTTTCAATCTGCTTTTTTTTTTTTATTCCATAATCAATGTGTACCCTTTGTTTTAAAAAAATAAACTCTTGTAAAACATTTTTGAAACATTGTTTTGAAAAATTTAAATTTTTGTTTTAAGGTGGTCATATGAGACAGGAGGAACTGTTAATTCTTAGTATCTAATGCAGTTCAGGTGACATATCCGTAACCATATTAATGCGCTAATTTTTCTGTCATATGCTTTTGCATTATTGTTTTCTTCTTCACTCATCAATCCAAATCATTCAAAAATTAAAAATAATATATAACAGTCTGAATAGCATTGCTTATCCGAACTTTCTTTTTTTTTTCATTTTTTTCTAGTTTTCTCATTATTCTCTTTTCTTTTCTCTTTTTTCTTTTTTTTTTTTTTAATGTCACTGAATGATCCACTTCCAGAAAGTACCTAGTATTTGTTCTTCTAATATCTGGCATTTTCTGAACAGTTCTAATTTTGAGCAATTTAATTTCATGTAATTAATGTGCCATAGTTTTGTTAACAAAGAAAAAAATAAAAAACAAATAATTTTTTTTTTCTTTTTTCTGCAAACGTGACTGATTCATTTTAGGATACATTTATTTGAATGAATAGTCTTTGAACACCTTCAAGTGTATCGCTTTTAAATAATAGTAATAATTTTTGATTAGTGATTAGATGAATGATACGCTTTTTTTCATCTCTTCCCTTCACATTTGTTTCGTCTTAATTTCAAAAAAGAAAAAATAAACCGATAAATTGTTTCTTATACCAATATTTTATTTGAATTTAAGCATTTTTACTGATGTTGTTGTTTGGAGAGGAGAGGGAAAAAAAAACAGAGAAAAAAGAAGAAAGAGAAAAAATGCGGAAGTAAATTTATAAGAGAAAACCTTTTGCGCGGAATAAGTGTTGCTGAAGTAAATCCAGGAGATTCAACGAAAACTCCCCCCCCCCCTCCCCCCAATTGCATTGCATTGCTTTGCACTGCCACAGTCAGTATTAAAGCGCTACAGCTTTCTCCTCAGTTTGACAAACTACAAAATTGGCATTTTGCCAGTCGTCAAAGGTTTGTCCACCCAACTAATAACAACTATAATAGTAGTAGTTGATTGAAGAAGATGACGACGAAGGTGGCTGTCGTTGTTTACTCGTCTGAACCGGCCAGGTGCTGAGTCTGGCTAGTCCAGGAAGAAGACAAGTCCGATTGTGGTTAAGGGGGGGGGAGGTAGTTGTGATTGCTAGACTTTTGTTGAACTGCTGTCGATTCTCAGTAAAGTATTGCAGACTTTGATTGTCACTAAAGTGGGAAGTGAAAAGTTGTTTTTTTTTTTTTTT